ATCAATTGAGTCCAAGAATATAAAAATATGCTCCCAAAGACCAGGGAAAATGATACCTGGCGCTTCAGAAATTGCCAAATCAAGGTGAAAAATGATTGAAAATCCAAGGCGCCCACTCTTAATACAAGATGGCGACCCTGGTCAAAATTACGTTTCTCCGGGCGAAAACAGACAAAACTCAATCTGGCAAATTCTTAGCGCCACTAATGGGGGAAACATACCCAGAGTCACCTGTCTTCATTCATTGTCACTTCCTTCGTCTCCAGGAATCTTAAATCTTGATTATCTCAGCAGTATTCGCTTTCTGTTGTCGTGGAAGGAATAATATTTCAAAAATGTGTCGTGTCAGGAGAAGATGGCTGCGTATCTAAAGCGAGGCTATGACATCCCTTACATAAAATTACACCGCAAAAAGTATAAAAGTGGCTATAAGTATGATTCCCCAATATTAAAAACCAGATTTACAGGGAACCTTAAATTATAGAGTTAAAGGCTTACCATGGCACAAAGCAGCGGGCAAAGTCGCGCTCCAGAGCGGAAGGAAAGTAGCGAACCGAGGGAAAGTTGGCATCAGAAATCCCATACAAGGTCTCTAACAGGAAGTTCTAATTAACTGGGAATTTCAAAAGTGAAAAAGCCAACCCGGGTCGCTACATACCTCCCCTCTGAGAAAGGCCAATAATGAAAATGTACAAAAGTAGGAAGAAAGCATTGCTGCAGCACACTGTTTCAAAGGGCATAAAATCACATAATCAGAAATTCCTGATTAAAAATCACAAGTTAGAAAATAACTGGTAAGTAAATGCTTACTATATCCGTTATCAGTTTCGTGTTTTCCTTTATAACTAATACGTCCAGAAAAGGAATTTGTGTTAAACTTTCTTTCTTTGTGAATTTTAAGTTAGAATCAATTCCGTTCAATACGTCAAGGAAAGTTTGTAACTCCTCGTTGGAAAACGGCCAATTTATGAAACAATCGTCAATGAAACGTTGAAGATCATCACAACTATCTATGAAAATCATCACAACAAAGCAAAATGGTGCCATCAGCACTTTTTTGGAACATTTTCAGCCTTCTTTACCAACTCCTCCCACGCCTTTTTTCTGTAAAAATCACAAATGTAGATATTGGTATCTAAAAGAAAAAACCATATGTATACTAAGGTACTATTTTGAGAGGAAAGCTTCTATCTACAAATCAACATGAATGAATGAGTAGTAACACATACATATTCTCATTATTAAGCATTTTCAATATTTCAGGACTTCATTTGGCATCAATACTCAATCAGTGGACATCCTGTTACATGTTATAACTCTTGTATGACACCTTATTTACGTACAGTTTGTATTTCTTTTTGGAAAATATATCAACAGCAGATCTCTAAAATGCTTTGTTTTCACTGAATCTTTGGTTATTATATCAAACAATTCTGCCACAATGTGGAGATCGGCTCCCTTAACACTTAAACTTAACAGTTTTTATTTCTTTATAGGAAAATATTTCAACAGCAGATCTCTAAAATGCTTTGTTTTCACAGAATCTTTGGTTATTATTTCAAACAAATCTACCACAATATTTTGCTACAACTAAAAAATCATAGTATTTTCTATTTGTTATATAGGGAATACTACAGTATCGCAAACAGAAAAGAGAAACATCTAAGAGCCTAACAAATCTAAGGGATGATCTGATATTATAATCTACTGGGCCAATTCACTTTCAGTTTATATCAAATTGGGTTAGTGATTCTTAATGACTGCCTTGTTCGAATGCTGTTGAGCATTCAACGACCTATCCTTCATATCATAAAGCAAAAAATACCTTTGTCAGTAACTCTAATGGATGCTCTTTAATTCACACATTTGACTTTTTACTTTTCCAATGAGTCTCTAAAGAGATACAGGAAATGCCTACCATGAATGTATTAGTGATGCATTCTAGAGTAACTCCTTTCCTTTTCCTAGGCCTACTCTGTGCTATTGGACCCATGTCCAGTTGCAAGTTGTCTACAATACGATATCTAGTGGAGTATAGAATCACATTTCAAGCTTCATCTCGCATCAACATTTATCATAAATGTTAATGATGCATTCTAAAGCAACACTCCTTTCCTCTTCTAGGCGTACTTTGTTCTTTTGGATGCATGGCCAAGTTGTTTACAATATGCTATTTAGTGAAGTATAGAATCACATTTCAGACATCTTCTGCATCACTGCATTCATTTGATTTGAAAGCAACTGGCCCATGGCAATGGAGCTGATTATGATGTCATAGAATAGTATATTCTTTTGTTCAAGACATTCTGCTTGCATCAAGGAGAATGCGAACGAGAATGGAATATTATACTTAAAATCAGATTATTTTATTTGATTCAGTTATACACTATTGACCATAAATTATAAGGAATTTTTGTGGTCATTAATCATAAAAATAATTGGGCATATTTGCTTGGGCAAACTTTGTCAAACACTGGGCTGTAATAAAGTAAGAATATTTCCAATTCTATTGCCTTATATTAGCAGAGAATTCAAATAATTAGGACCGTAGGACCTTATTGACAAAACATACCTGAATTATCAGTCCAGATGATTTTTATTACGAAGGCATAGTATTAAACAAAGCTGTATGCACATTTGATTAACATATTTATAACATAAAATATATGTATAATGGTGCAATTCTGAATTATATGTGTTTCCATAGTAATGTAACATGTTCTATCTACCTATTTATCTAAAACGATTACAAGAGCAATTATTAATTAAACAATGTGAAAAACAATATTCATTCATTCATTAGAATATTATTTCTAAAAAATCATATGATTTTGAATACAGGTAAATGGTTATTTGGCCATCATATTCTCAATGTCTGTTTCCATAGCAACACTACACAAAATCAAGTTAAAAGACATTTCCTTTGAAATTGTTACACAAATTAAATTTTAATTATCAAGTTAATTTCAAGGTATACATATCCTTACTAGACCCATCTTTCTAATGGCAATGATTATATAATCTTTTTTTTCTTATTAGGAATACCTAGTGTTTGATGCAAATATGAGTTCCATCATGGTACTCAAGTGGACACCATAGAACTTGCCTGATTAAAAGGATGCAATCTGTTAATCAGGAAAGGTTAGTTTTACCCAAATGAGTACCATGATGGTACTCATATTTGCATCTTTTAATCAGGAAAGTTTTATTTTGCTCAAATGAGTACCATGATCCTACTCATATTTGTATCTTTTAACCAGGAAAGTTTTATTTTGAACAAATGAGTACCAAGAATGGTACTCATATTCGCATCTTTGAATCAGGCAAGCTCTATTGTGCCCAAATGGGTACCAAGATTGGTACTCATATTTGCATTTTTTAATCGGGAAAGTTTTATTATGCTCAAATTAGTACCATGATGGTACTCATATTTGCATCTTTTAATAAGGAAAAACAATGTACATTTTATATTATCTTGAAATTGACTCATGGCCTTCGTATTATTCATTGATCATCACATAAACATGTTCAACTTCATTTAAAGAATGTACACTTGGCAAGCTATCAAAAACAAGTGAGACATAAATGACCATTGACAGTTTTTGATAGTTTTCAGTCCCTAAAAAACAATATACAAAAATACATGTACCCTTCTCTTGTTACTGTGCATTCTTTAGAATAAAACAATTTATCAATTTTTGTTGCTATCTACATCATTGATCTTATCTTACAAATATTCTGCTGTATTCAAATTCAATGTTCTGGACTGGATAGTCACCTGTAGTGCACTGAAGCTAGACTAATTATAGCCACCTCAGTCACTTACATCAACTCACACTCATTAGGTCAATGCAACCAACTCTTTTTGTTGTTACAATTAATTGGCTAAATAACAACAAATTTTAACCAATAAGAGCCAGGGTCATTGTGAGCCTGGTTGAAGTTTGCAAAATTCACAGTTTGAATAGTCAATACAAAAGAAATCACTTTTTTCCGGATTAAAGACCTTTTAACTGTAATATAATAGACCATTTACCTGTAATGAGAATGTGTGTGATTTAAGTAAGATAAAGCATTCGAATTCGATTTGATAAGAAATAATAACCTCAGGCCTTGGGCCTTCGGTGTATTATTTCTTATAAAATCTCATGCTTATGCTTTATCCAGTACATAATTATTAACTTGTAATACAGACCGCTTTAAAGGCGAACACTTCGTTTGTTTTTTAGGTAAAGTCTCAGAATGCACTGCGAGTTATATTATAAGTTATATTCTAAGTTTTTCTGCCTCAAAAGTTGATGAGACACCATGCAGAAGTTCCTTCCTCTTCAAAAGTTTGGCTATGTGTCTGATATGACAGTCTAGGGCGCTGTATTTATACCCAGGACATGCATGTACAAGTGTTGTACACGTACCTATCACGTGATCTGGCCTCATAATGCGCAAAATATATATTGCCCAAAAAATGTTACGAAATGGGAAAAATGTATAAACTGTCACCTGGGAGGGAAGCAATAATCCAAACTTACGAATCGTAATAATATTTGATACATAAATGGCAGTTTAATCAAGTAATTAAGCAACAAAGTGTGCACAATTCACTGGCCCTGGAAAAAGAGACCCAATAGTTTATAAGTAAAAATGTGCGCTTGAAATATTAAACTACTAAATACTGATGTGGTTGAGCCTTACTTGAAATTGTAAAGTAGCTACTTATTTTCCAGATATGCTTATTTTCTAGATATGCTTATTGTATTTACGATTATGAATTAACAAACCAATTGAACCACTAAGCTGATATATTTGTGTTCGAAGCTGGACAATTTACATGTTCTTTAAAATCTTGAAGCGGAATAACTCAAGAACGAGGTCAAGATGGCATCAACCAGGTAACTTTTGAATCTCCCTTGGAGATTTCCGGAATTAAACAAAAGTAGCGAACGTTGCGATCTTTCAACTTTAGTTTGTTGTTTTTCACCACTTTATGTGTAGTATTTTTTTCATTTAGGAGGCAGTCCTAACATCCTAAGATCCTGGGGATGTTCTGCAGGGGGTTGAACAGTCTTAGGTGAGGGTTGAACAGCCTTTGGAAGTTCTGTAGATGGGGGTTGGACTGGCTTAGTAGGTATTGGGGATGGGGGACCTTCTGCTTCTTTGTTATTGTTATTTGCAATCGTATCAATCATCGTCTGAATTTGAGCAATGAGGCATTCACCAAGCTCAGACTTCTACCGGGGATCCTTCAGGTCTGGGGCTGCCCTCTGGTCTGGGGCTGCCCTCTGGTCTATACTGATGGCAACCCTGTAAGAAGAACCCGAGGCGTCAGAAGGAGCTTTACTGGTCTCAGCTACAACCTTCCGTGTGTTGCAACAATTTGATGGTATCATTTGCATCCATATTTCCGAACAACCCATATAGATTCCATGGATTTACGAAATCTTTGAACGATATTATTTCATCATTTTGTTTTCTGTTTCGAAAATTCCCAACAGGCACATTTTGACGAGGCATGTTCCCACCAAATGTGTAAGAATATAAAACCGCCAAATGTACTAAAAAACGCCAAAATACTATATTCAAAGGATAGGAGTGCCAAAAAATATTTTGATATACATCATCATATTGGTTATAGAAATAATAAGAATATAACTATTAATTTGGTTTTCTAAATCAAAGTGTACAAACTGCAACCATGCTCCAAGTAACTTAAAGTCATATTGGTAGAAAATTGATATTATGAAGCTAATTATTTGTAGTAACAATACATTACAATTAATTAACAAAACATTATGAAATAATAAGATGATATACCACATTTTATTTTTTTCTAAATAATCATATTTATGATTACAGTTAATAGAAATTGGGTTTCATTGTTTTATAAAGATATATCCATTAGCGTCACACCATATATCAGCTTGAAGTCATTTTCCAGCATCAAGTCCAATTATGTTCATAATCTTCATTACCTGAAAGTAAAATATCATTACAATTTCTAATATTAATTAATGGTATGCTCAATTGCCAATTATCATTATCTAAACTTTAAATAAAGAATTTTTGATTCCCCCTCCTATTTTTATTTATCAATATAATTAACCGACACCATTAAAACAAGCAAGTGAAATATAACATGTCTTAATATAGAGAAAATCACAAGACACATTTACTGAAGAAACATACCTAAATTTCTGGGTAACATCAATATATTCATATCTGTTATTCAGGACATGCCATGATAATAGTTTGTAGTTTTTCTCAGGAAAATACTTCATCAATAGGTTTTGCATGTGAATAATTTTGTTCTCTTCTTTTATGATCAACTTATTCCAATCAAGGAAATATATCCGGGTTTAATCCATGACATAAACGAAGGCCGCTACCATCACCCTGTCCCAATGACTTAGACTTACTCCAAAATTTTCTTCTCACACCATAGGGCCATTTATCCAAAGGTCCTATAACTTCTATTATGGATGACCATATTTTGTATAGGGGGTGTGTTCCTGACATCTTGGTTTTACTAATGGTGTACAACTAATAAGGAACATATTCATTCATGTTCATAATGTGTACCATCTGTATCTTCTTGAAAAGTCTATGCCTATTGTTGGCTCATGGTAGTGGTAGAAATCCCTTTGTGTTTCTGTTGATTTCTCATGGGTATAAGTTGTGAAGTTGCCATGGAATGATTTCAAAAGGAGTGAAGTGAAGTGGGTGGCAATATTGCATTTGGAGTTAACATTATCTGGGAGATCATTAATACGCTTTTGGATTTTAAGAAAATAGACACAATTAAATGATATGAGCCAGAAATATTGTAGAATTGATACAATTCTTTGATAAGCTTGCCTGCTAGATTTGATTCTCTGTTTAAAATACAATATATAAAGTGTTTTGATATTGAATTTAAACATTGTGCAGGTAATTACAAAAATGATGAACATATTTCCCTTGAGGTTTTTATTGTATTATTTCAAATGTTACCCTTTCAGAAACAAATTTCTACATCCTCGAATAAAACTTATTGGTAAAAGTTTGCCATTATAGAGACAAATATATCTAGATGATAGAAAATATGACAGAAATTAAAACACAATGCCACAATTTTTATAGAAAAAATCAGAAGAAAACAACTAAACAAGATCAGAAACTACCAAATAGTATGACACCCACCCAGACTTTAGAGGGTACACTATTTTATACCCAACGTAATTCAACACGCGAGATCATCACCTGTATAGTACATTGTTGTATGTGTTGTGCCCATTCCAGGCACATTTATTTAACCTATTTTGTATATGCAGTACTTTCCGCTTCTGTTAGAAATATAATCCTCCCCCATTCCCTATCCTGAAAATTAGCTGTTCATTTAATTCAAAATGTGAGAAGAATTTACTCAAATTGAGCACGTTTTATAAAGTGATTACATGAAGACATCTAAATCATCTTTGAACTATATTCTGGCAGTTCAATCTGGCATGCCTGTTATTTATTATTATCAGCCCTTGACTTCACAAGGGTCTTGAAAAGTTAGGCAACACTTTTGGGTCATCTTGTTCAGTTTCTGGTACAGATAGTGGCGAGGAGGTATAATCTTGTTCTGTCGAAGCTAGAAAAGTGTGTCCCAACAGCAGCCTCTAGTGCTCTCTTCTTGGGACCTGACAATTCTCCCTTTCTGACAGAACTTTTTGAACTCTTACCCAGATAGTTACGGCCTCTGACCTCACCTAGAGTGAAGATCTGGCAAGCAACCAAATATATGAAGTTTTAGGTCACCGTGGGAGTGGGAATTTGTAATCTTTGTCAAAGTGAATAAGAGCAATTAAACTCAACTTAGACAAATGTGGAGGTGAAAAATTTAAACACACACAGACATTGTCAAAATTTATTAATCAGCAAACATCTTAAAAAAATCCAGGCCTGTCAACTTGGGAACATCTAACATGAGTGACTTCCAAATGTTGAACACCTTGCCTCAAACTTTGGACAGGCCTTTCAATTATTCCATTCATTGTTACAAGTTTTTTTGTTGTGCGATGATAAATTAGAATTACAGGAAAAACATGTTGCTGTCGGAGGTACAAAAGTTAGTGTTTTTTTCACACGGCAGCTGTTGTTTAGTGAGTTGCCCACATGATTTTAGAATAGTTGACACCTCTCTATTGTAATTCGCATTTCCTGCACAAAATCTATCCCTGAGTGTTGGGGGCATTTTTGTTGGAATTTTTTCTGAAACAATATTTACACAAATTAATTGAACAAATAAACATCTAGGTATGCTTTTCTGGATGCAACGAGTCTCAAATAAAGCCAGTTCTTTTTCATGGAGGCTGTTATGTATAATGTTACACCAGTCATCTACATCGACATGATCAGAAGGCACTCCTGGTGCAAGTTGTTCTAATGGCATGTATGGCTCTTCAAAATCATCTTCGTTATTATTATTCAGTGGTATAAAATTAGTGTGATTGATATCTGTGGTGGTGATGGAAGAACCCACACAGCAGGTATGATCAGGTTCAATGCAGCTTTCGCAAATGTTGTTGTAAAATTCTGTTGTTTTGCTATCCTGTTTCACAATTTTTGTAGCATCAAAGTTCTTTAGTTGCAGTCCATGAACAGATGTTGGCCTTTCCACAGCTACACCAAGCTGGCCTTTCCACAGCTATACCAAGCTGGCCAGGGTAGTTCATGTACTGGCAATCTACTTCGAGGCAAATTGACAACCTTGAGATTTGTTAACAGTAAAGGCAAACCCATGTTTCACAGGTATTTGTACATGTGTGCATAATACAGTGTCTTGTTTAGGATTGTATACCTTAAATAAATTGGAAAGAATACAATATAGAGGTTCTTATGCGAGGTCGTCCATTCTGAGCTTTGATAATCTAAATGACACAGCGAGTTGAGGTAATATTTCAATAAACAGGTCTGTTTTGTTATTGTTATACCTTTATTTTATACAATATATATACAATAGAACCTGCTAAGTGGAACACCTCAAAAGTGGAACCTTATTTGTGGTCCACAGTATGTTATATATTACATGTACCTTGGAATCTTTCTCCACTGTCCCCTGAAGTCCTTGAGGGTAAAGGCTCCTCCAAGCATCCTTCTAGTAATTGAAAAGAATCCTTCAACATCATCTGTTGTAGATGCTCTTTGGTGCTCCGGTCCATTATCAGTATTGGAGAGTCTGTGGATTTCTCAATATTGCTGGTCAATGTTATCAGAACTTGATAGGTGAAGCCTCTGATGTCTGACATTGGTCTAAAAATAGTGATTTTTGTCAGAGTTTTGTTTGTTTATCTTTATTTCCTTCTCGAAGAAGAGCTTTTTTAAAAATAATTATACAAGCAGTTATTTACAAACAATTATTTACAAAACAAATATCATGAATTTCTTAAGATGCGAAACAGTTTCTAAAAAATAGGGGAAGGCATGAATCAACATGTTTGCATATCGGCAAATTCACAAAATTAAAATCAAAAATTAAGATTTCCTCCACATCTACAGAAATCTATAATGGCTTTCCTTAATCCTTTTGCTCCATCTTTATAGGGCGGCGGGGCGTTTACACTATGGAAAAAGCAATTCCCATCATATGGGACATTTGTTAGTAGGCTGTATCTGTAGGTTTTCGCGACAGTGACAAAAGTCTTGAATTCTTCTGTCCTTGTAAATTGCCTCCTCCTGTGCAGTACTAACTGGTGAATACTAACTGGTAAAATAACATGACTCCATTAAAGAATACACAAAAATTCAGAAGCTCTTCCTCCATAAGCTACAAAAGACAAGTTCACAAGAAACAAGGGAAGAGGCCTACCATAAATTTAATAGTTTCTTTCCCTTTGTAATTTGAATAGGGTTCCTAAAACTGATCAATTGCTTCAAGTGTTAAATGCTTGTCATTAGCTCTCCCTACATAAGCTACAAAAGACTAGTTCACAAACAAACAAAGGGAATTACCATGAATTCAATGTCATTTTCAGGGAACTTTCTCATGTATGAAGTCAGTGGCAGGTTTTGTGATTGAAAAGTTTCTTTAAGTTTGTCCTTATACTTGATCATTTCTTGCAATGAATTACATCGTTACTAGATTTAAGCATTCTCTACAAACTGCTCATCTTATGTCATCATCAAATTTTTACTGTTTTTGAGATATTTGACATAAAAAAAAACAGTAAAAATTAGTTAATTTTCAACTTGCTTCAATTTGACCAAATTCCTTTTTGAAAATCATCTACAAGTTGCCAGGAAAAGTTAATTTTTCAAATTGATTTTTTGGATGTACTTTTTGGTCAGCTTAATCACAAAAGACCTACTGAGATCTGAATAAGTAAAATTTTCAAGGTCAAAGGAACTTACCTTTGAATAAGTGCTGCAATGGTATCGTGTGCCGTAAAGCATGTGGAATTTTGGAGGTAGATATATTTTCCTGACAACACTTTCTCCACCCATATTTAGTACAAGATGCATTTACAATATACACTTGATTACGTTTCACACTTTGGAAAGATGTTCCCAGTTTTAATAACAGAGGGAAGTACATCTTTTTTTGACTTTTCAATTCTAGTAGCGACACTTGGATTATTTGAACCTTTGTCAGTAACTGAGTACATATGACAGTTACATGACCATGAAATGCTGTTATCCATGGTACATCTTGTTTTCATCTTGTATATACACTGTTAATTTGTCCTAAGTTAACTGACGCACCATCAGCTCCTAGTCCAATTAATTTGTCTTAATAATTAATGTGATTTTTTCCAAGTGCATGAATAACTGAGTCATAAATGCCATCTGCTTTGGCATTCCTGACAGCTTCCAAAGCTATGAATCTCACCACTGGATAATGGTCCTTTATAAATCTGAGCATAATAAGTTCTTGTTCTGTTTCACTTTTATCATTCGGTCCATCAATAAGTACACTGCAAAAAGGTGACTGAGCAATGTCTGCTCTCAGTGCATCCCCAAAAAAAAACAGCAATGTGCTCAATGAAAATTTGACAGCCTTTCAAATTACATTCGGAATACTTACTCAAAACGAGGCGGATAAACAAAGTCAGCTGATTCAAGTTTGATCAAAACAGAATGAAGAAATTGTCAAATTAGGTTGAAATAAAGTGAGGTTTGAGCCAGGGTGTGATAATAGCTCCTTCGGGAGATCAACATTCTGGGTTATTGTTAACAATTGCCTGTGGAATCATGTACCTACTTGTATGGTTGTCAGATGCTTCATTGCCTAGTGGATTGTTTGGTAGGCTTATTCTCTGTTTTCTATGAATGTCAGCCCAGGACATTTGATCACACTTTTTCAAGTATGCTTCTTTTTGGAGTTTTGACATTGTAGCCCATGTACTATTGCTAACAGCTAGATTTTCAAATTCCTTGGAAAGTGAGAAGTGTCCAGGTGCAGATAATATTGCCGTCTGTGTATTGATTGTGTTCATTTGATCTATCTTTATCATCACGACACTATTTAAATATTCCACATAACTTAACTTTCTCGTCGGAAACTCTTTCTGAATTTCTTTGTGTATATGGTTAAGGCCTTCAACACCATTAGTATATGGTCTCTTGTTTTCTGGGAAACAGGCATCCCTTCTTGCTGACATAATCATATATTTTATCATTTTATTTTTCCTTGTCTCCCTTTGCATTTTTTTTAATTCTTGAAAATCTCCTTTCAGTAGCGTCAGATAAATCCTGTATCTTTTTCTCAACACATGCTTTTAGATTGTCAAAACTGTTCCTAATATTCTCTGAAGTCGGAAATCAGTATTCCTTCCATTTGTTTTGAGTTCACTTAGAGTGTTCTTCAACCATCTTTCCATGTTTGAGGATATGGTAGATTAATATAATCAGTATTTCCGTAAAAACGTGACAATTTTTTTTACAATTTTTTTGTTCAATGATACCTCATTCCTTTTTTGGTTATTAAAGGTTAGCCTCGCCATGATTTCTGAAATATAACAAATAACATATAAGTGGATGGAGTTGCATTTACATAGACACGGGAAAAGACAATATGTGTCTGCAAACAAAAAAGGGTAATTTGTTGAACATTAGTCACTGTTTTCATCAAACGAAATTATTTATATTCTTATTTCTAATATAGTGTAGATATGAGTAGTATCATTCTCATTTAATGGGATAGCTTGACTAGATAATGTTTTGAATATCTCTTTGTCTGATTTTGATAGAATTTTTACTTTTTTGACACTTTTGTTTCCTCAATGAGCCTATATACTTGCAACAATTGACATCATTCGCTACCTTTTTTCTAACCATCAAAAAGTCACACCTCGTCTAATGGTGGAATCATATGTTTGACAATCTAAGGATTCTCTAAGATTGTCATTCAAAATAGGGAGGAAAGTTGCTTGAAGAACAAACATATGTTGTGAACTATTTATGTCAAGAGTCCGTTCTTCTTCAAAGCTTCTAAAAATGTTAATGTAAAAGTTTGAACAAAAGCTCCTCATATCTTTCCAAAATCATTCAATCTTTGGATTGTTGACAGAGCTTCCTTGCAACCAAGTTCCCCTGCCCTCCCCTCTCCGTTGCATAATTTCATCCCCCTCTCCGTTGCATAATTTCCTCCCCCACCAAATTATTTTTCTGCCAAAATCAGTTCTTACCCTCGATGGCCAATAAATTTCACGTACAGCTTCTCTGAACAATTCATATACTGTTTTTACTCTGTTATTGGTTGATGCTTGTAGGATTGTTGCTAATCATGAATACCTATCAATCCCTCCGTGAACATCGATTCCCCATCTGAAATAATAATAATAATGTACAAATACTTCATACTATTTAGGTGTTCATCTTTTAATGATTTTAGGAATGTGTATTCTTTATTCCCTTATTGCCCTCCTATTCCAATTTACATTAAATTAGTAAAATCAGTTAAGTTAATTAGTGTTAGTAGGTTTATTCAGAAAAAACATTTTAATATTATATACATATTTACAGGTACATTTTTACAAGTACAGGTATATAGTGTAAATCTATTACTGAACAATACATTTACAACTAATATAGACACTTTATGATGACAAATTCCAACACTACTGGGAGGAATAGGAGTCTTTCAATTGGTCAATCACATAGGAGATGGAAGGGCGGACTTCTGGGGATATTTTCCGCAGCAGTGAGATGATGTATGATAGGCTTTTTACAGAGGAACTGTCACGGATGTCCTTAAAAATTCCCAAGTGAATTAAGATCACTTTGGACGGATGCTGGTCCTTCCTGAACTTCGGGTGTTATCCAAGGGCATCCTGCTGACATTCCATTCTAGAAGACAAGAGGCTGTGAGTGAAGAGGATAGGCCAAAATCAATTAGTTTTCCTTCTGTTTTAGTGGCGAGGCAATAGTTGTTCACTTTGATGTCATTGTGAAGCAGTCCTCTGGAATGGATATTGTATAATGTGGATGATAAACAGATGATAAACAAAGGCACTGTGAAATAAAGTCCTGATTTGAGAGTTTATTATTATCCTGGTCGTTGAGTACTCACCAATAGATGTACCAAGATAGTGTGCTGTGATGCACTAAAATGAGACCCTAGGTGTGACCTGTACTGTTTATGTTATTACCTGATCATTAACTGATGTTTACCTTCAAACTTGTCTACATGTATTCTTCATAGCTCCATGAGCCCCAATGTCATCCTTCCACAAACATAACTTAAAGCATATATTTTTAAATACAAAAATTCATAAATCCTTTTCTCTTTTTTGTACAATCATGCTAGTTTTCACAATGAAATTAATGTTGTGTTTTAAATTTGTTTGTTTCTGGCAGAAACTAGAATTCCATTAATATGTGTATAAAACTAAGGTTCAAATCAATATGTATTAAACCGACCACTTTGTCAGCAATTTTCTCCCAGATGTTGAGGATCCATGCTCCGCGATGCTTTTCAGACGACAGTTTGATGTGTCCACTGCATCTTGTATTCCAGCCGCCCTTGTTTTCTCATCAGTGATATTATTTTTCTTTCCAGAAATTACTGGGATGTTGGGTTTTCCCTCGCCCGTTTTTTTTGCATTTCGACTTCTTCGCCTTTTTTTTCTTTTGCATATCATTTCAGATCAGCCCATTTCCTTTTTACATCAGCAACATCTCTCTTGTGGCCAGCTACTGCATTTACCTATGCATAGTATAATGATGTTTTTAAAAAATACGAATCGTTGATAATCACATGTTTATTGTTTTTGTAATTACATGCGCATTTGTAATAATTACATGGGGGGGGGCTACAGTTAAATTGATGGTGCAGATATTGAGACACTGATTTGAATTGACATCTTTCCATGATGCAAAGAACAATTTACTAAGGAGAAACTCTTTGTACATCTGTCTCTAATAGTACTAAAGCTTAGCATGTGTATTAAAACTTACACTTTTGTTCTAGGTAATAGTTCTAGGTAATAGTAATAGATGTACATATTAACTATTACAAAAATAGCTGAAAATATAGTGGCATGTTGTTGCCTTGTTTGTCATTGCGGGAGTGACTTACAAACAGGCATTCCTCCTAAGTTATGTTCTTGTATCTTGTACAGGCAATTAATATGAAGTATATGTAAACAAGAAATTGACAATTACACAAGCTAATGCAAATACAGAGTTTCAAATAATACTACAGCCTTAAAAATGTGAATATATTTTACTTACTTTCAGTAATTTCTTCAAATAAGGGTTACAATACCAAAAGATAAAGAAACAAATGCCTAATGCTCTATTAATTCATGTTTATTATTCTGCTTCCTGAAACCCTACAAACTGAAACAGTTTCTCAAATGCTTCTGGTGGAGGGTAGTGCTAACCTTTGGCCCAAGAATCTCCCATGCTTCCAGAGCAAGTTGCCTATAGGCAATGTGCCTCATCTTCCTAGGAGATTCACTTCCGAAGCCATGCGGATACTGCTTCTTAAATGTCCTCCATGCATTAACAAGCGTCAGTCTATTGATGTATAGTCGGTTGAACGCAGGGTTCAGAGTAATACATCTTGGAACTGCAAAAACCTCCCCAAGGAGCATAGCTTGATGATTTAGGCCCATCACCTCAGGGATGCTGTTACAGCACACATTCTCCTCTAGACGGTCAATAGACTGGCAATTCCCACATGTGCATCTGGAAGGAAATAGTAAATATTTCCCAATTTGAAAAATTCAATTGGAAAATATATTGGTAATTTGTATCTTCTGATCGTAAACTATGATTACCAAGAATATTAAAGGACCAAGAAATAACTTGACAAAACTAAGAATTAGCGTACATAAACTAGAAATCGAAACAGGTTGTTACACAAAACCAATTACCCCTATTTTTCATTTTATTACATGTTTATTCAATTCAAAAAGTATACAGTAGTTACAGTAGTCGCTGCCTAGCGCACTTTGCATTATATTCTAGCATTTCAAGTTATACATAAAACAAAAATTAGGGTAAGCGAGTGAGGAAGTGCCAGTAAGCTTAAATACAAACAGTAAATTGGGAAGAAATGAATTAAGTTATACTAGAAATGAATTCAACAAACTTTTCTTTTAATTTAGAATCCTTTCCAAGTGAAAGGGAATTTTGAAATGTTAGAGATTCAATTTTTCTTGTCCGTAGGGTCCAAAGGTTTTGCTGTTCGAGGGATTCTTCAAGGTTCTTTCTTTGAGTAGAATGGCGCTTGCAATGCAGAATTAAATGTTTTTTTGGGTTGCACTCTTACCACAGACACATAGGTTAGATGTGTTAGGAAAATTATGGGCAAACTTTTGTGATTCAAAATAAAGTACACATCTAATTCTGTTTAGGATAATTTCTTGTTTTCAAGACAGATTTAGTTTTGAAGTTGTATTGAAGTCAGTGCATTTTAAAGTTTTGTTTTTGATTTGACTTTTGAACATTGAGATGGTTGGAATAGACCTATCTTCTGGAGATAACCTATTCCATTCAGAAATTAATTGCAATACTGGTGCTTTATAAAGTCCAATGCTTGATTTTGCAGGTATTTGGTAGGGATGGGACGGTTCGTTTCGGTTCGGTGCGGTTTTTTCGGATCATCAGCCGTCGGTTCGGTTTTTTCGGTTCGGTTCATTCATTTTAAGGATTTGTATTGATTGACATGATTAGCTGCTTTGTCTCTGACTTCACTGCTGACTGTCACTTTCTTTTAATACAACCAATAAAATAACTAATTTATAATCTTCATTTCTTTTGGGAAAACGGGAATTTGAGATCCAGACGCCATATTTGAATGTATTGTGGGTGCGCACAAAATAATACCCTATATCGAACCTGCGCAAATATAAATTTGCGCAAATCTTTGTATCAATTATGCCACGTTATAACAATATTTTATAGATGGAATTTTATGTTATAGTATTTCATGAACAATACATATTATTTAGAATACACCACTAAAGAATATAGTACCAGGGACCACATGATTGATTACCGTGGGATACGAATACGCGGATACGAAACGAATCTAGTAAACGAGTGAGCTAGCAACAGACAAGACAGACAAGGTAGGGACTAGGAATATCAAAAATGTTGCTGTAAAACAGTGTTTTTAACTGTTTTATTGATACTTGACCAATGAAATATTAATCCGAAAACGATCCGAAAAGCTGATACGAAAGTAGGGCCGTGATCCGAAAACCGATCCGAAGGCTATGAACCGCGGTTTTTCGGTATTTCGGTTATCCGTCCCACCCCTAGTATTTGGAAAGGTCTATGGGTTTTAAGGGCCCTTCTTTGCTCAGATTTATAAAGGTCAATGTGATTGCAGGTGCCAATATTACCAGCAATGCATGAACACCAACCAAAGCGTCCTCTGACATTACATTTAAACAGTTTATATGTGTTGCAATCATGATATAAAATTGTCCCTACAAAGTCTGCCAGAGGGAATAAACCTTCTGTTCTTTGTATTTTCCTATCTAGTTACCAAAGTCTTTAGAGTGCAGAGAATAAGAGAATATTTTACCAAGGTCAACATTAGGCCAAGATCTGATATTGGGTCATATCTGACAAAAATGGTTGTACACCTTTATTATTTTCATCTCTTTAAGGTAACATAGATTCCCGATCAGTTTTTGATGGACACAATATTTTGTAAGTTCTTACTCAGCAAATGTGTTGCATCTTCCCTGGAAATTTTTATGTTGTAAAAAGTAGTGTTGCTTAACCTCTTTAATATCCCGTATCCCAATACTTAACAAACTGACAAGAATGAAATACATAGTGTGTCATTCTTTTTAGAAAATAACTTGATGTAAATGACCCACATATTTTCTTCTGCCAATTTACCTGGATTAACTCTCAAAACTTTAGCCAAATTTTTGCTGTTTTTTTACACACCAACATGCCAGGCTGGAACTTAATTCAAATCTATGTAATTCAGTGGTCAAGAGAGGGTACTGGGCTTACATAGTGTTGATCAAAAGTGAATGACTGCTAAAACATACTAGTACTCATAAATGATGATGTGAGATGGATTAAATCCAGTCTAGAAGTCAATTTTTCATTAATGGTCCCATGTAGAGTCGAACACCTCTCTGACTGACCATTGTAATGGTGCTTTTAACAAATTTCTTGGATCCCGGCGCATGAACACATTTGTTCGTTGTGATTGCCAGCAGCATCTCAACATTGTTTGCCTAGAACAATGAATTAAAATTGTAGGCAGAGAGAATCGTAAACATCCTCTGTGAAAATGTCAGGAACTGTTCTTGAACTGTTCCTGAACTATTCTTGGATAATTCTTGAACGCAGTTCCTGAACTGTTCACTTTCTGTTCAAAGAACAGTTCATGAATAGTTCTTGAAGTGCAAAATGGCACTAATTCATTGAATTCATTCATTGAATTTCTGCAGAATTTTTGTTCTTGAATATTTTGTGAACAATTATTCTTGAACTATAGTTCAGGAAAAGTTCTATAAATAGTTGTTTAGAACAAATCTTGAACTTGTGTTCTTGAATTTAAATTTTCAACAAATTCAATAAAAAGATACACTTTGCACCTCGAGAATTATTCTTTAACTTTACATTGAACCTTTCCAAAATACTTGTTCAGAATAAATCTTGAACTTGTGTTCTTGAACTTTAATTCTTAACAAATTCAATGAACAGATTCAATGAATTGGTGCCATTTTGCACTTCAAGAATTATTCTAGAACTATTCTTGAACTTTTTCTTGAACTCTTCCAGACTATTTATTCTGAACAAATCTTGAACATATGTTCTTGAATTTTAATTCTTAACAAATTCAATGAATCAATTCAATGAATTAGTGCCATTTTGCACTTCAAAAATTATTCAAGAATTCTTCTTGAACTTAATCTTGAACTATTCCAGAATACTTACTTAGAACAAATCTTGAACTTGTGTTCTTGAATTATAATTCTTAACAAATTCAATGTAAGTGCCATTTTGTACTTCAAGAACAATTCATAAACGATTCTTGAACTTTATCTTGAATTCTACCAGAATACTTATTCAGAGCAAATCTGGAAGATATGTTCTTGAACTTTTCAACAATATTTATTCAGAACAAATCAGTTACCTATGTTTTAAGAAATTCAATGGATTTGTGTCCATTTTGCCCTTGAATCGATGAACCTTTAAAAACAGTAAAACCTTTAAAACTTCTTGAAAATAAAGATTGCTTTAATCTCAAAATGTTTGTTGTAAAAATGTTGATGGTGATAATAAATAAGATAAATAAGATAATTTGTCTAACTTCAGTTTGTATTTGTTTGTATTTAAAGTTTACATATAAAAATCAACTGAGCAGCGAGTAGTTATTAAAAAACTATTGTACATTTCAAAGTCTCTTCATGTCGCAGTGTCTATGAATCAATATTTTTCAATTTATATTTTCTTCTTTCAACTTTAATAATATTATCGAACTTTTGAATGAATGTTTCACGGTCGATGGAGCACTCGCTTAGACAGACTGCTTCCACAGTTTGCAAGGTTTCTGCATTGAGCTTCTGTCTTGGACCATCCCCTGAAAAATACAATTTATGAAATAGAAATATTACAATACATGTATGTCATGAGGTAAGCCACAATTTTAAAAGCTTTTGAGCATTATATAATACTCAGGCTTACTACATGATTCACTTAAATTAATGCTTACCAGGCGTTGCTGCTGTTTTCTTGCCTGTTCTGTTACAAAATTCCAAGGGTGCAGCTTGTGCTGGTGGTCCATCAGCAGACTCACACCAAATTATGACACAATCCAATATGGCAGTAAATATATAAAAAGTTTTGCAATGCTTTTGATCCGTTTAATTGTGATCTCAGGATGCTCCCTTGTCATATGATCCTTGATCAGGTCGTAGCATCTACTAAACCCTCTATTGCATAAAGTGCAATAGAACATAGTCTCCAGAGAGTTTGCATTTATATGGTGCTGATTTTGATATTAAAATTTAGTCGATTGCTGTAAAATTTTCAATGACACACTTAATGTTAAACATCGTTACTATTGTTTTGTCCATTCCAAATTCTTTGCGGCTCCCATTAGGGGCAAAGCAACCCTCATGCTGGTTTTCTCATTCCGAAGTGCTTCAACCATTCTTTTAAGAGAATGCATTTCTTTCAGAACATTTGAAAAAAAATAATTTTACATAGTTAGATTAATGTTAACCTGTTGACAAACTGAGATTTCCTCATCTCGTCAAAGTAAGTGTACATCATGGCATCATTTGAGTCCACACCTGCTTTAAATCTATAAGGGATATCAGAAATCAATGAAATGTGTACAGTACATGTATATAGAATAAATGCGTAGCAATTACTCAGATGCGAGTTGGTAGTTACCAGTTTCACCACCAGGTGGCTGATTTGGGGGAAATAACATGACAGGGTATTACAAAATTCCCTTAAGCTTGAATATTCATCAGTTTTAGTGGTTCATGTTTCATATTACCCTAATGTATCTGATAGTTATACAAGTCAAAATATGTCCAGTAAAAGAAAATATTATCTGCCCAACACAAGAAAAGATATTTCCATTTTTTGTGATTTTACAACATTTGGGCTATGGGGAATCCCCTACCTAAAAGTCACATTTTCAAAGAAAATTAAATTTTCAAAGTTGATAAACTCTTTTTAAAACCTTAATTCTAGATGTAATTTTTCATGTAGATTCCAAATATGACATTATGAAATTTTGAATTTTTAATGACGTAAATCAAGATTATTTCTACTCGCATCTAGGCTATTGAACTTATATTTTAACAAACAATTGACTATGCAGACGAGGATTGCTGATTTGCATTGGGTTAATCCTTAAGAATTAGAACAAGTAAGCAACATCATGTAGGATGCATCAAATCTGCCACAACATAGTAAGTCACAATGTTTCAAACTAAAAATATCAAAAAAAGTAATCCACAAGTAATCCATACTTCTTTTCAATGATGTTCATAACTTCCAACTGGATGCTGGAGAAAACTTCTGCCCGTTGTTTTGCGACCTTCTCAGCCATTTTTTGAAGCAGAATGTCAACCTGACAACCTACAAGGGTCGCTATAAGTGGTCAAACTGACATAGCTCTCCTAATTAGTGACATGTGCATTTCAAAAAGTTTCAATTTGTAGAAATTTTCAATTTGGGAAGTCTATTGTTTCTTAATAACAAACTAGTTTCATAACTTACATCTTTTGCTTTTAATTGATTATGATATATTTTACTTGAAAGTTTACCCAAGAGGTCACCAATGTCAATTCATTTACTTTTAATTTCAGAAATCAATGAAATTGAATTTTAAACATGGTAACTTTATAAACGTGGACATTGTTCATAAACAAGCACTCCAAAACATTTGAAATCCCAACAATGTAAATTGAATGATAACTGTATAAACTTGAAATTGTTTTTTAACTGGGCATTGTAAACATGCATACAGTAGGACCTACCTTAAAGGTAGAATCAGATATAAACATTGCAAGTGACATTTGATTTGACATATTGGTTTTTATGATGTCCAAAAAGTTTCATCATATATCTAATGAAGAATTTATTTGAGATTCAAAGTGCAGAAATCTGCAAATTTTCCCAAATAAATGTGGATATTACATGTAGAAAAAATGAAACATGCATGGCATAAATTATGGACAGTGAAACATTTTAGAAAATATAAATGGTAAGATATGATTTTACCCCATGGCAATGTGAAACCGAAACAATATTTTCTCAAGGTCTTCTCTATCTCTGATTCTCCTTTAAGGAACATCCCTGTATTTAATCAAATACATTTCTGATAAAATATATTTAATGCAATCTTCAACTATTTTGATGTCATGAGTATTGACTTTCAATTATTTCTTCAACATGTTATGTAATGACTCTAATAATGAAGTTATCTCTCAGTCTGATCTGATCGTTACACTTTATAATTTGCTTTTCTTGCTGGATTCCCTTTCCTTTTAAGTCCTCGGATATTTTCCTTTGGCATTCATACTTATATAACTAGAAAACTGCAACTCCACGGAGTAGCAATTCTCAATGTATACTATACATATATGAGTCATAAGACATGAAAGAAGAATAAAAAACAATACCTTCTTATCACTAAGGCTTTTTATTATCTATTTAATCCTTTACCTTCAAGTAAATCCATAGGCACATCATTTTCATCATACTCATCATCATGATCATCATCATCACTGGAGTCATCAACATTATCATTGGAATCCTCATCAGAAATGAAATGACTGTCATCAAACTCTTCAAACTTTTCCACTTGTGGCTTAAACATAGATTTTAGGATATGAACACTTTTAATTATTTGTTACAGTAATATTATACAATATTGGTTTATTATTGGTTTCCTTTAGGCCCTGTAACACCTTTTGCATGCAAATTTTGCATGGAGGTACAGAGACCATTTGATAAGGCATGGGTTGTTTTCGATCAGGAGTGTGGTTCGCGATGTCGGGTAAGATCATTCATACTTTAAGATATCTTGAAATCTGCTTGTTTTTATGTTTGACAATGTGGCAAGGCACTTAAAGGATGGGTCTGGATATATGCCATTTTGGTCCCTCACTTAAATGAATGTTAAATATGGTTTTTATTACTGTCCTATTTATATTTGATAAGTATATGCACTTTTTCATGAGGTTTTATGCACAATGAACCCCCTGCTGAGAGTTAAAATAAGTATCCTATCAAAAAAACAAATGGTTGTTATCATATAAAAACACCCATGGCAACATGAATGAAATACAAAGTAGTAATAACTTTAAGACCCATCAAGAATTAAAAAGAAAATCATATTTTAGGATTTAAATTTTTTCAAATATTTGAATTTCCCGCCAGTTTAATTTGAAGGGGGGGGGGGGAACAAAATGGCTGCCATTTGATGTGAGAAATTTTATCATTACATTTATGGCAAATACAGGATTTCTCAGAGAGAGGCTTCCTTGTTCATGTTTCAATTGCTTTCCCAAGTATAGATTTACTAGTTACTGTCCTGTGCTGCTTGTGTGCTAGTCTCTTGGAACATACTGTACATGAGAAGTGTCTTGCCTCAGTGTCTCATTTAGGTCAGATAGCATGGTTGGTGTTGTAGAAAGTTCCCTTTAACTAAATATTAACAGTTTTAGTGGTATACTTTCTGCATTCGTAAATTGGAAAGACATTATATTGACACCCTGTACAGAATATTTAGTGAATTACTTACAGCAATCTTTTGAGTCACGATTATCTTCCTCCGATTTTGTGGCAAAGCTTTCAGGTCTTTGCATTGTTCCATCTTTTTTTCAAGTGCCTCAATTCTGTCCACTAATTTCTTGTTATTGTCCTCCATTTTTTTTTCGCTTAGCTGAGATACGGCTTCCTTTTGTGCAGTCTTATCCGATGTGAGTTCCCCAAGTTTTTCCACCACATACTTTTGAAAATCAAACTCCTCCGATGGCAGCGGTCTCCTGGCTTGAGGAACTGAAACAAATATAGGTGTATTATATAATAAATGCAAGTAAGCTTATATCAATTTATTTTACCATTAGGAATTAGAGTCTATACTTGGCTTGAAACCAGGACCAAATTCGACTAGATCTACCTGAACTCCTAATATATTGTGATAATAGAGGGAAAGTACAAGTGTCACTCATCTTTTTGGTGATAATTTAGTTCTGCACATGACAATCTTAATATGGTAATTGTCTCAATCATTCTCTCTCACTAAAATAAGAAATATTCGCCTTAAAAGAAGAGAATTGTGGCTAGAGATTCTTACCAGTACTTGGAGGTCTCATACGGCTAGAGAGTTTGTTCTGTTGATTTCTAGGTTCATCGGATCTAGGTGTACTTGTTATCCTCGACCTCTTGTTTACATAGGCAGTAACACATGCCATGCCTACACCTTAGTAGACAAAGTCTGTACCTAGTGAGGTGTAGGGTATTTAATCTCATTTTCCTCTATGTCTGATATTTTGCAATCAGGTTCAAAACAGCTCAAATGAATACATAGGCAGTAATACATGCTATGCCTACACCTTAGTAGGCAAAGTCTGTACCTAGTGAGGTGTAGGGTACTTAATCTCATTTTCCTCTATGTCTGATATGGTATTTTGCAATCAGGTTCAAAATAGCTCAAACAAATACATAGGCAGTAATACATGCTATGCCTACACCTTAGTAGATGTAGGCATAGCATGTAGCTATCTGTCATGGTTTTCACAGCAATTTCCATTCCTGCAGCATCTATTTTGGCCTCTACTGTACCGAAGCTTCCTAGGTTGCAAATGGATGTTGAGAAGTGGCTATGGATGTTGGCGTTTTGGAATCTATAAAGTTGTTGATCTGAAGGGGCAGGCTGGAGTTCGCTGATTTTTTTGTAAAGTTGGTTCCTCTCTTTTCGTTCATAATCTAGTGATGTCTCCATGCGCTTGAGTTGTTTTCGAAGTTCTTTATTCTCCTCTGTTTCGTGCAGTTTGGTCTTCAGTGTTTTGTTCTCCTCTGTGACGTCCCTTAGTTGAGCCTGGAGATACAAGATTCCGGTGTCTTCTTGATTCGGTTCTGGATCCTGGTTAAGTATATCATCCAAGTTACCCAAGTCCACCATCGGCACATCATCTTGATCAGAGAAGAGTGGTGAGAATTCTTCAAGTGGAAGTCCGGAAGTAGTTGGTTGAACAGGTACATTCACGAAAGGCTGCTGGCGTACTATTCCTGCAAAATAATATCGTCTGTCGCCTGCTCCATTATGGATAGTTGTGACGTGAGGCTACAGGTGTTGGACCGCCATGCTGAACATCTTCTTGGACATGGTTAATCCTAATGGAAGTTGTGAACGGCATTCTATGGAAGCCTCTCCAACATACACCCGACGATTCTTTGTTGTGTTATCTGCATGTGCTGTAATGGTAGATAAACACCACTTCTTTACTGCTTCCTTGACCTTGGCATCTTTCTCCTTCTTCTGCTGATAAAGGATCAAACAAAATAATTTTGAAAAAATGTTATACCAGCACAAGTTATTTTTTGATACAAAATAATTTATGAAGGCAACTGTGCATTTCGTTGATTTTTTCAGGAAAGAATTATTTCAATACCTTTTGATCCTTTGGTGATTATACCCTGTACACCTCAGATAATGTGTTTGAGTATGCCAACTGATGGTATTTTTAATTTTTTACATACATTTTTTTACATTCATGTTTTTTCAAACCTTTTAATAGCATGTTTGAATGTAAAGTAACAAAGGCAAGTGCTTGTACTAGTATTTGAGCAGGTACGGTATAGCATAGAGTTGTAATTATTGTTTGGCCAAATAAGTTTTGAAGGGATACATAGTGTTCTGCCTTGTCAAGGAAACCATGATATACAGTGGACTGGTTTGCAGAGTCAGCTGGGTTGATTGTCATATCTGGTCCTTTATACGACATACCACATAACATAACTCATTAATGATCATGGTTGCCCTGTTTTTGCATTTTTATGACGGTTAAACATGAGGCGGATTCTCCTCCAATTTTAGTTTTCCATTTGCAAATAATTTACAGCTAATATACCAAAACAGAGTGCTGAGACCGGGATCCTATGGCCAACACTTTGATTAAAAGATAGTACTAATTATTCTTGGTTATTTAAGTTATCTCTTCTTTGATAATCTCTGTAGGAGGTTAATTATGCATCAAACTCATGAAAAAGTAAGTTTAGTTATTTAGTTTTATCATTTGTATTAAGATAGCCTTTAATTTTTGACTGCTGAAAAGAAAGAGCATGTCATGATTTATTATCATTGTACAATAGCGTTTAACTTACTTTAGACATTTCTGTTATCATATTTTCCTCTTTTCGTTTCAGGTTTTTGATTTTGGAGTATTTCCCTTTGGTTAAGCGATTGAACAACCCAAACAGTGTAAGGTCTATATGTCTTTTCTCTTTTGTGATTCCGTAGATCTTTTCGAAGCCATCTAGGCAACTCTTGCTTCTTACTATTTTGGATATTTCAAATACAAATACTTTGACCTTCATCTGTAAAAATGAAAAAAAAACATTCATGCAGATAGAATAACAAATTAATGACCTCTTAATTTTGTTAAAGATTTACTTTCCTGGATAATGGATTATCTTTAATAATGAGAAACATTTTTGGAGATTATGTGGTGTTATCGTAAAGTCAATAAAACATTTTAAACTGTATTTATGTTTTTAGATGAAAACCATAAGTGAAATGCATGAAAAAACTCCTCCAATTCATTCTACAAACAACTCGCGGTCCTTTGAACTTGTTTCATCCGCAATATTTTATAGCTATGATATTGTCTCAAAATGTGCACAATCAAAACTCGCTAAATGAACCGGGAGTGCAGTAAATAGATTACCATTTATAAAAAATATTTGCCTGAAAGTTCGAATAAGCTTCTTAATCAACTGCCTATGTGACAACATCTTGCCAGATTGGCTCCATGGCTGTTGTGATATGGGTTATCTAATGTGACAAATAAACATCTAGGTATGCTTTCCTGGATGCCACAAGAGTCTCAAATAAAGCCAGTTCTTTTTCATGGAGGCTGTTACATATGTTACACCAGTCATCTACTTCAACATGATCAGAAGCACTCATTGCACTCCTGGTGCAAGTTGTTCTAATGGCATGTATGGCTCTTCAAAATCATCTTCGTTATTATTCAGTGGTATAAAATTAGTGTGATTGACATCTGTGGTGGTGATGGAAGAACCCACACAGCAGGTATGATCAGGTTCAATGCAGCTTTCGCAAATGTTGTCGTAAAATTCTGTTGTTTTGCTATCCTGTTTCACAATTTTTGTAGCATCAAAGTTCTTTAGTTGCAGTCCGTGAACAGATGTTGGCCTTTCCACAGCTACACCAAGCTGGCCTTTCCACAGCTACACCAAGCTGGCCTTTCCACAGCTACACCAAGCTGGCCTTTCCACAGCTACACCAAGCTGGCCTTTCCACAGCTACACCAAGCTGGCCTTTCCACAGCTACACCAAGCTGGCCAGGGTAGTTCATGTACTGGCAATCTACTTCGAGGCAAATTGACAACCTTGAGATTTGTTAACAGTATAGGCAAACCCATGTTTCACAGGTATTTGTACATGTGTGCATAATACAGTGTCTTGTTTAGGATTGTATACCTTAAATAAATTGGAAAGAATACAATATACATGTAGAGGTTCTTATGCAAGGTCGTCCATTCTGAGCTTTGATAATCTAAATGACACAGCGAGTTGAGGTAATATTTCAATAAACAGGTCTGTTTTGTTATTGTTATACCTTTATTTTATACAATATATATACAATAGAACCTGCTAAGTGGAACACCTCAAAAGTGGAACCTTATTTGTAGTCCACAGTATGTTCCTCTTACTTTCTACTGTAATAATATATTACATGTACCTTGGAATCTTTCTCCACTGTCCCCTGAAGTCCTTGAGGGTAAAGGCTCCTCCAAGCATCCTTCTAGTAATTGAAAAGAATCCTTCAACATCATCTGTTGTAGATGCTCTTTGGTGCTCCGGTCCATTATCAGTATTGGAGAGTCTGCGGATTTCTCAATATTGCTGGTCAACGTTATCAGAGCTTGATAGGTGAAGCCTCTGATGTCTGACATTGGTCTAAAAATAGTGATTTTTGTCAGAGTTTTGTTTGTTTATCTTTATTTCCTTCTCGAAGAAGAGCTTTTTTAAAAATAATTATACAAGCAGTTATTTACAAACAATTATTTACAAAACAAATATCATGAATTTCTTAAGATGCGAAACAGTTTCTAAAAAATAGGGGAAGGCATGAATCAACATGTTTGCATATCGGCAAATTCACAAAATTAAAATCAAAAATTAAGATTTCCTCCACATCTACAGAAATCTATAATGGCTTTCCTTAATCCTTTTGCTCCATCTTTATAGGGCGGCGGGGCGTTTACACTATGGAAAAAGCAATTCCCATCATATGGGACATTTGTTAGTAGGCTGTATCTGTAGGTTTTCGCGACAGTGACAAAAGTCTTGAATTCTGTCCTTGTAAATGGCCTCCTCCTGTGCAGTACTAACTGGTGAATACTAACTGGTAAAATAACATGACTCCATTAAAGAATACACAAAAATTCAGAAGCTCTTCCTCCATAAGCTACAAAAGACAAGTTCACAAGAAACAAGGGAAGAGGCCTACCATAAATTTAATAGTTTCTTTCCCTTTGTAATTTGAATAGGGTTCCTAAAACTGATCAATTGCTTCAAGTGTTAAATGCTTGTCATAACCTCTCCCTGCATAAGCTACAAAAGACTAGTTCACAAACAAACAAAGGGAATTACCATGAATTCAATGTCATTTTCAGGGAACTTTCTCATGTATAAAGTCAGTGGCAGGTTTTGTGATTGAAAAGTTTCTCAAAGTTTGTCCTTATACTTGATCATTTCTTGCAACGATTTAAGCATTCTCTACAAACTGCTCATCATACGTCCGCATCAAATTTTTACTGTTTTTGAGATATTTGACCTAAAAAAACAGTAAAAATTAGTTAATTTTCAACTTGCTTCAATATGACCAAATTCCTTTTTGAAAATCATCTACAAGTTGCCAGGAAAAGTTTATTTTTCAAATTGATTTTTTGGATGTACTTTTTGGTCAGCTTAATCACAAACGACCTACTGAGCTCTGAATAAGTAAAATTTTCAAGGTCAAAGGAACTTACCTTTGAATAAGTGCTGCAATGGTATCGTGTGCCGCACATGCCTGAGAAACCCCTGATGCGTCAAAGTGTGTTTTGACTGGTGACCAAAGTTGCCTCATTTATTCCTGACAGGAGGCTCTCGATTAATATGAGTCTCTCAGTTGCAGTGACATTTGTCATTTTGTACTTCTGGCATATTTGCGAAACGTTTTTCAGTTTATTTACTGAAGGTCCCAAAAATAGATAGGGTGAATTTGATACTGGACTTATGTCTACAATCAAATTGAAACATAATGAGTTCCTAATTAAATGGACACTATGCATATTTTTTAATACAGTACTCCCAATTAATTTTGCTAGTTTTAATTTTGCGAATTTTGAGAAAACAAGATTTCGTGGTTATTAAAGGACCACTTAAAGTATCGCAACAGAACCAACATAGCAATATCATTTTTATAATATTATTATATTACTATAGGTGAACAGACTATTATACAGTATTACTATTATTATTCCATAGTTTGTTTGTGTCAGTGCTAGTTAGGGTGATATTCATAGTTTATTGTGTCTGGTTCCATAGTGTGTCATTCTGTATCTATTTACACTATTTGATTTTAGAGAAAAGTCAACATTCTATAATTTACTTATCTTATGAGTTAAATCCACTCATGCATATGCGCATGTTAGGAAAAATATCAAAATTATTTGTGGATAAAAATCATATCACTCATAATCTATTTACATATTTATAGCTCTAGATTTAGCTATATTTCAAGTATCCAGTAAAACCACTAATTTTACTCCTGTTTTAATTAGACAGTTTTGCAAAACTTATAAAACTTTGGCAATCAATTGCATGTCTAGTATTGTTTACTAAAGGAATAAAGGACCTTATACACCCTCCATTGGGATCTCCCCATGGGGAAAAGATAATTCATCTGATTTTTCAAAATGAGTATTCTGCTTCAATTATTACATTTATATGCACACTAGTATCTTATTGACCTATATTCAGCACTGTATTGATGTATAGGCCACTTATTAGGGTCATAATTCAATCATGAAGTGTAGAGGCATAGATTCCAAACCAGGGAGTATTTTTGTGTCTGTCAAAATCCATTTACATCCTACGCATCCCTGCATCTTATCCAAATATGTTACACTTTAGAACTTGATATCCTCTATCATATGTGCAGATTTTGAGAAGCTCCGAGGAGTTGTTTTTCTCAAATTGAGATGACAAGATCCATGAAAAAAATTCAAATTGGCCACCAGAAACCAATCTTTCCTACTGTGTATGTTGATGAAAGGTTAATATCTAATTGTGTATTCAGTGAAAATTCAAATGGAGGTTAGATCATTAAAGCTGACA